GAAGGGGTTTGGTTATAGCTGGGGAAAAGAATATCTCGATTGGGTCGAGGGAGTCTTCGGATCTTCCGAGAACGTCGAAGAAAACGACGACCCCGAAAACAATGGGTCCCCTTCAAGGGGATGGTCGTTACAGGTTTTTCTCGGACTTGAAACAGGAAGCTGGCATCAGGACATCGTTATAGGAGCCCTCGCACGTAGGAGCCCTCGTGTTCTGCAAATAAAGCTCTCCTGGAAACAAACAGGGCTTGCCGGACCTCGCCTGGACAAATTGTGCTCCCGGGAGAACGACCCAGAAGAGAGAAGTTGGAGGTAACAGCCTCCAGATTCAGGATAAAAATTGGAGCTCCAACTCCTTGACTCCTTTCAAAGGAGAGAACTTTTTTACAAGAGATGGATCATTTGCATCTACGTTTTGAGCTTAGGGAGAGTTCTAGGATTCGTCCTTGTATCCCAAAAACAGGGTATTGGGCAATAACTCAAAATTCCACGATGTTTTGGAAATCTGCGGCTGTCGGCGCATTCACTGAGGCGAGGATCCGCATCCTTGGATGAGGCGCATAAATCATAAACCTCGAATTTACGGGTCGATTTACTTAGGGCGAGCCGAGGGTAAACCTGGCTTTCTCCTCGGCATTTTCCTTTTCCCGCAGAGGACGCAATAAAAGTGCATTTACCCACTTTCCAGTGGACCTTGGGGACATTTTCCGACTCCTCTTCCGGGCCCTCGACCAGGCGCTCCCTTGACCACGGTCTCTAATAAATCCGGGGTTTCTACCTCATCGGTAAGAGATATCGAAAACGACGTCCTTATGAAACTTCCTCGAAATAGTACTAGCTACAGTTTTTGTTTCAAGCATTTTTCGATATCTCGTCCGATATTCTCTAAATGTGTGGAAATATGCATCAAGTCGGCTAAGGGGAGGGACCCCGATCTTTGCACTTGCGAAGAACTGGTGCAGAGACTTCGACGAGCAATCAAGGAGGTTTGGGGGCAAATAAATTTCTCCTTTGATTAGTCCAGGGAAAGTGTCATAACTCGTAACCCAAGGGCCATTCGGGAGGACCACGAGATGCGGCCGAACTCGGGTCGATGGCAATAAAACTGCACAACGTGTTTACGCCATTCTGCGGCCGTATACTTTCGGGCCGCCTCAGACCTCGGCCTTAACCCAGGCACATCTACGGAGGAGTGTAAAAATTCGCAGTCGTAAATTTTTCTTATTTACGACCGACCAGCCACGAGGTGACCATCGGCCGTCCACAAGGTGCGCCCCTCGTTGCGCGAAACTGGAGTAAAACCTGCAAAATCGGTCCCGCGAGCCGGGCGGAATTACGTAACGTGCTTCTCTACCGAGCCCTACCGTCATTACAGGGAAGGATCATTGGAAATAATTTCAATTTCAAATTATAGAGCCCATGGGAGACCAAATCATTATGAGTGACAGGATGGACCGATTTGTGTGGCGGGAGTCCCCATAGGTGGCGGTGCACAAATTGCACATACGTGCGCAAACCGTACACGATTTCGACGCGAATGACAGAAGCCAAATGCGATTATGATCGCACTCGGGCTCGTTTGATTTACCGGGGAGCCGTAATAAAGTGGTGTGCCGGGATTCATGTCGAGAGCCACGCGACGAGTCGTGTGTACATCCGCGCAAGGGGTAGATCACCGTATCGCACCACGCCACGTGGCTGTCACTTCATAAATGTACATCGAGTACATCGTGCGTTTATCCAGACAGCTCGATGCTCGTCGGCGATTTTCCCTTGTACGGGGAGTTTCCTAAAAAAGAAGCGAATGTCATATCGGATTTCCAGGCGACGCGATATCAGAGATGCTGGGAGATCAATTTTGTCAACAATAAGATCGAATCCGAGGGTAACAAAGATCCCACGAACCCGCATCTTGACGAGGTGCACTTCTCGTATTTAACAATAACTTAAATACTTGACCACCTCCGAACACTATAACGCTTTCTCCTGTATTAACGTCCTTCGGTCAATCCCGAGGGGTGCATTGTTGTCCAATGATACGTCCACTCGATAGGAAATATGGGGTGTAAATACGCCCGTATCGCAGTAATCGAGATACATTCTCGATTGTTGGATTTTCTCAACAAGGGAACGGTGTGAGAAAAATCCTAGCTTCCTTGTCAAGCGCTCCCAATTTCCGCGGCCAAATGCTCCGTTAATATAACCCAGATAGAAATTCATGATCATATGATGAGGGAAATCGATTGACAAACAATTGACAGACCATTTCCTGCACGAAAGATTTGCAATATATGTACACATATTGCACAACAAATTCGAAGAAAAATGTACGGTTAATTTGTCACCCCATGGCTCAAGTATGAGCTACAGGCGCTGCAATTATTCATCGACAATGCGTGAGATAAATTTAGCAGTACACATGCGGATAAACATTTAGATATTGCGTGTACTTAACTTTATTTAATATTTCAATGGTTTTAATTCACCATTGTGTACTGCGGATATAAGTTCCAAATAAGGAATCATAAGCAGCGTCCTCATGACTCATTTCATGATCCTTTATGGTGCAAATCAGATGCAAAATTTGCATCTCTTTGTCTATCTGAGAACTGGCCAATGGGAATTGTTAAAATGTAATCCTCAAAGTGTATCCCTGATTTTCCTGCGATGAAAGAAAAACTTCAGATATGATATGGACACTTTTTTGGGGTGATATTTATGTCCTCACCTGACGCAAAGTTTCCCTTAATCGATTCCACCATAAGTCAGAGTTCCTCCCTCTTGGGGTCGGCATTCTTCGGCAATTCGGGCTTTACAGGGTAAAATTTGAGATATTACATCCGTCTCCCTGGCCACCGACGACGTCTTTTAAGACTCTTCGGCGGCCATTGACGAGGAGACAACCCTTCGCCTCGGCCCGGAAAAAGTGTACATCCCGTCTTTCGAAAAATGCCCCAAAGCATTTCGGATTTATCAATCAGGCCGCCTTTGTGTGGAGGAAGTCTCCCCGCCAGAGAGAAATGTTATTCAAGGAGGGACGTTGACGAATTTCCCGAGGAAATTGCGCCGAGCGTGTCAACTGACTAACCGTGGGATTAACATGGCATTCTGGAGGGTTTAGGTCCTCTTCGACCTCTCGAATCGACGTCTTTCGTTTGCTCTTTCCAGAGGCCGCGACTCGCACGATTTTTCAAGAATTCTCCATAAATGTTCCATTCTCCGTAACCGACGAACCGTGGACTTCAAACGTCGTTCCAAAATTCCCCCACGCGGGAGAAATCATTAAGGTGATATGAAAGTCTTACACATATGTACATACGAAAAAGTGAAAATATTTATAAAACTTTTCTCCAAACTGGGTGCATCGAAATATCTAAAACTTTAACACGTGATTGTGGAGGCCCTAAGGAAGAATGCGCTGCCCGTAAAATTTCATTTATAAAAAAAAAAATACCTTTTTTGGTTCTCGTCCGAGATAAGTATTTTTTTTTTTTAAGAAATTTCACGAGCTGCGCGTTATTCTTTACGGCCTCTGTAATCACGTGTTAAGGTTTCAGATAATTCGGTGCACCCAGTTTGGAGGAAAGTTTTCATAAATATTTTAACTTTTTGTTATGTTAATATCAAACTTTCATATCACCTTAAGGAGCTAACGAGGCCGCTTCCATTTTACAGAAAATTGTCTCTAGCCCGGGGGAGTTTCCCGTTCCGCGAGGATCGGGTCTTGGGAGAGAAAATACGTTCAAAAGAGAAACGGAAAATTGCACAGAAAGGGAGTCCTCGGACCTGGATCTGATCGATCCACCCCGGAGCTTAAAAGGACCGATTCGACACAGAAAGCGTTCGAGGGCCCGTGAATAAAGATTGGAATCGCTAATGCCAGGCTGGGGAGAGAAAGCTCCAGGATTTGGCGCCTAAATTTGGAAAATCGGACGCCAAGAGAGGCTTCTTGGGGAAAATTAGAAATCGAGAGGAGAGGGAACCGTCCAAGATGACGTCGAACGGCGGGTGGTGCACCAAAATGGCGGCCACAGGCGTGACCGATGGAAACCGGCTACCGAAAGCCCAAACTTGACGACCGAGTAACCCGGATCCTTCGGCACCGCTTTCCATTATTTACAGGGCATTATCCACAGACCGGAGGACTGGCCTTTAAGGTGATGTGAAAGTAGCGTCAAAGAGTTCATGAAACTTTTCTCCGAACAGGATGTATCAAATTATTTCAAATTTTAAGACGTGAATATGGAGGCTATGAGGAAAGTCCTAACACCCGTGAAGTTTCAGTTTTTAAAAATTTGTTTAGACATTTAAAAATTCATCGTAACAAATCAATGTTCATGGGTATCAGGACCTTCCTTATAATTCACGTTGTAAATTTTGCAACGATTCGGTTCACCCACTTAGGAGAAAAGTTTCATGAACGATTGATCCCACGGATGCCACTTTCACATCCCCTTAAATCGACAGCTGATTTCGATTTCGATTCGTGCCTCTTCGGTGTCGGGTCCATTGATTTACGGCGCGTGGTCTGAACGCGCAAGGAAAGGTACATAAATTTTCCCAGGAGGAGCGAAAGGAGCAGGAGAAATTTCAGGGGCTCCAGGATCGACCTTTCTCTTTCTCGGGAGCGATTCGAGGAGCGCCACGAGGTCCTCCGGAACCAGCCACCCACCGGGGCTTGCCACAACAATTTCTATGTTCACGATGTAGGTTACCGAGGCGAACTTTTAAGACTTACCTACTGCTTTACTGCCCCACAATAAATCAACTGCTTCCAGGTTCCTTCTCGGGCCTTTTCGAAAGTCGGTCCCCGGGACGAACTCGAGGACCCGGATCTTCGGGATGGGCTTCGTCTTCGGCCACCCTCCTCTTGGCTCCGCAAGGTGGAACTCCGCGTCCTGAAAATCCTCGTCACACAAAGAGTCCGTCAAGTCTGTCAAAAAAACATTGACAAACCGATCGTAACGTCATTTTCTTCGATTCGGAATTAAGAAATCTCCTCGTATGCAAAGACACTTTTATTACTAAACAATGAACACCGTGCAAAGTATATTAACGTTATGAAATAAAGAATATATGCGCATATACAGGAGATTATCAAGTCTGGCAGGAAACATTGACAAACCGATCGTAATCTCATTTTCTTTCGTTTCGGAAATGAGAAGTCTCCTCGAACGCAAAGAGACTCTTATCACTAAATAATGAACAACGTGCAAAGTATATTAACGTTATGGAATATAGAATATATGTACGCCGCGGGATAAACTGACAGATCGACCTCGATTTCTGGAGGAAATATGAATATCGTATCACAGTAAGATTTAAAGGAACGAGGAGACAGGGGTTTATCAGTCCAGATATCCTTTGTCGTTCATCGTGGTGATGAGTTTCCGAAAAACGGTGACGACGTCTGGGTTCTTAAAGATATCCATCTTCGTGTCGCCGGTCTCGAGGAACTCGTCGAAACTTTCGATGTCATCGTTGTCGGCGACCATTCTAGGGAAATATATTAATCCTGACATGACCGCATAAACGCGTCTCTTCAACATCGCCCTCTTCAGCTGCTCCATCGTGGGCGGCTCGGTCTTGCAGCCGATCGACTTCATGTACTTCTTCAGCACCTTCAGATAATGTTCCAGGAAGAAGTCATCCATATCGCACTTCAGTTTGGCCTCCGGGCAAATGTTGATGAAGTACAGGAGGTCTATCGCAGGAGACGTGTAGACGGAATATTGAAAATCAACCTGCCAAGGGAAAGAAAGTGTAAACAAAATACTTCTTCGGGGTATCCGATAAATAAATCATGTTCTCCATTCCGGAAATCCGAAGTCACCAAGGTCGCTGAAATTACCATCAAGAGATCGATCGGCTCGCCTTTGCCGTTTTCCCGGAAGAGCATGTTGTTTATCCAGCAATCTCCATGGTTCAGCACGCAAAACTCATCAGGGTCGTATTTACACACGTTAAGTAGCCGAGATGTAATAGTACTCGCCAAAGCCTTCAGTTTTCCACAAGCTCGGTCGCCGCCGTACTCTGGCCACGTTTCGCTCAATTTTTCCAGACTAATTTCCATCAGTCGAAATATGTTCGCATGACTCTTCTCCGATATGACCCCCCTCTTGAAAGACCGGATGAGATCGGGCTCCTGAAGAGGGAAAATTATGAATAATATTATATAGGTAGGTATTATAATTTTATAATTTTAATATTATATATAATATTCACCTCCTCGTACAGTGCCACAGATCCAGCGTGGAATTTAGCGATGGTCTCGATGGTCATGACGGTATGAGCCATGGACAAGCCCTTCTGCCTGTTCTTCAAGGCGAACCCACGAGTCCCAAGGTCCTCCATGACGATGAGCATGGGATTTTCGCTGCCGTAAAGCAACGTGGGACCTAACTTCTGCTCGACGAATTTTTCGATCCTCGGGAGGACGTACCTGAGGACCTTCAGCTCGTTGGAGAACAGTTCCTGGTCGCGAATCAGCTTCAAACCAGCTCCAATCGTCGCAGGTTCGAGCTTCACGATGAAGTTGATGGTCTCCTCGATTTGTTTCCTGTCGTGGCCCTCGGAGGTCCTGGAGTACCTCAAGGAGACCCTGAAGAGCTCGCTGAGCAGGTTGTCGCCCTTTTTGCAAGCCTGCTCCTTCTTCAGCCACAGGACTCGGGCGCTCCGGTCCCGCAGGACCTCCTGGAGGATCCTCTCCAGGAAAGCCTTGTCTAGACTAGGCTGGCCTGGATTCGTCCTTCCCTCCACTTCTTCGGGAAGCTCGAATCTACCCTCTTGCGCCACCGTCGTCGCCATTGCGTTACATGTGCGTTCTTTTAGGACCTGTAATATTAAATTGCACTCCATTCAAACTGTCTTCCCATCCCGGTGTTCTTCCCTATCCCTGGGAATTGTATTTTCGACGTACTCGAATTATGCAAGAAAATCCTGACTGCGCCGGAAAATAATTTAACGATAATGCGACGCGACCTCTTTTGCAGACTCCGCGGTGAACAATGGCGTGGAAACGTCGAGAGCTCTTCGTCTTGGGGTATCATTATTAATGAGAGACTCTTAATCATGAAACCTCGCGATAAAAGCTTCATAAAAGTGCCGGAGGGATGACCACCGAGGGATAGAGGAAAATGTTTTAAAAGAGTAAGTGCGCAGAATGGTTACCGCGACCTCTGATAATATTATTACGCATACTCGATAATTCTCGAGGAGAAAGAATTTCTTCCGTCAACATACATCATGAGTACCCACGGAATTATAAGTTAATGTTTAATACAATGGCGAATCCGTGATTTTCTTATTAAATGGAGTCGAGGTTAAGGCCCTGATTTCCTCTTGCCTGATAACGGTCAGACGGTGATCATCTGAATAAATGGAAGTGCAACGTTCGTCTGTATGGGTATGTACGGGTTATGTATTATATTTGTATCAACAATGCGATGACCATGACACAACTCGCGCAACAATCGTTTAATTAATCCCGAAGTCGGACCGATATCGACATTTTGTAACACACTTATAAACGTACATATGGATGAAATGTAAAAATATTATCCAATATATTCTGGCGCTTATTAATTATTTCTTACGAATTTCCTGGGAGTCTCTCCGAGCTCTTCGGATTGCGAGATCCAATATTCTTGGGCATCGAAGCGAAAATGAGCTCTCTTCTAGTTTGACATTTTATAAGTACCACGTATTTGGTCTTATCCGAGTGTGTACACATAGGTACGTCTAAGAGAGAGAGAGAGAATGAGAGAAGTGGTAACCCAATTCGCTCAAGAATTTCCATTACGTTGCCGACAAGCAATCGAGACACTGTCAACACATGATCTCTTGTCAAGGAGAATCAACAAGAAACATTCGACAGACACCACGGTATTGCGCAGTTCTCAACAACTTGTACATCATTATCGGTAATTCGGGATTAATCACATATATCCACGTATATCGATTATGCCTGATTCAGTAAAAAATCTGTCTTTCGTGGAAAATTTTAACCCCGGTCGAATCGACGTGTAAATGATCTGGAGCAAAATAAACGCAATTGCGAAAAACTTAACATCTCCGAGAAGTTCCAGTTTCCATTTCAATTGAATTCGGCAAATCGTCAATTTTTTTAGATTAGATTATTTAACAATTTATGGGATATTAATTAAGAGGGATTGAAGGTCGGCTCGATCGGGTAGAAACTTGGTCGTATTTCCGATTTCTAAACAAATAATCATGGAAATTTCTTATCGCGCGGAGCCTTCAAACCTATCGAACTAAACAAATGTATACACACGTTATCGATGCATTTACGAAAAAAAAAAGAAAAAAAGGCGATCGAGAAGGTTATGCTCGAGAGGTGAGTAATATTTCCTTCAATACTCCATTTCCGGGATCGAGAGGTAAATGCGGTATTTCCCCAGTTTTGCGGTGACATTATAAAACGAAGCTCGGTTAACCGAGGGTCGGCTTCGACTCCAGAAGTTTCGGGTTTTCTAAGTGAAAAGACGGTAGCCGCTTTGTTGCAGGTTATAAAATTATATGGCAGCCTCTGGCCCGACTTCTGGCCACTCGCCGTTTTGAAAATTGCACACCGAAAAATCTCACCCTGAAGTGATTTACGACCTGCCTCGGATCTCGGATTTTCAGCGACGAGCCCAAAACGGCGTCGAAGCCTTCTTGCACATCTCGCTCTAAATTCCACTTAACAAACTAATTAATCTTCATATTGCAGCTCGCACTTCCCAGGGAAGCTTTTCAGTCGGAAAACGTCGACTTTCCCCGGGATCCCGAGGAAGGGGTGAGTTCGCGTTGTCCCCGAAAGTCGCGCGCCTCCACCTTCCGAGTCGTCCATCTCTCGACGGGCGCACCCCTACCTCGCTCTTGTCTTTTGTTCGCCGGGTATCTTTACAGCCCTGCTGTGCCAGGAAATTTACGAAGCCCTCTTAAAACCGATATAAACACGTTCCTGGGACCGTCGTGGTCGGTCCTGGTCGCTGGTCGGCCACGCGCAGCTCCGAAGGGGAGAATTCTTCAGCGCGTGCAACTTTCCCCCGGGGACCGGAAGTGCCCTCCAGTTCCTGAAAAACGTGTTGAAATGATATTACCGATGGTACAAACGAGACGAAATTTAAAATATGTATCCATCCAATAGACAAAAGATGATGATGATATCACGTCTATTCTACGATTATTAAACCTCCGTTCCAGTCGTGTAACGTGAACGTCGTTTAAACGGAGTTTATACATATAATAATCGTTCATAATCATTTACTATACGTTCGAATAACGTTAAAGTACACGTTCCTTCTCAACAAAGGATAGACGCACCGAAAATTTAACGCGTAAAATCGACGTTTCTTATAAATGTATATTTTACATATAGAAAAAAACGTATAATTCTTAGATAAACGTTTGATTTTTACCACCTTATTTCCGGTAGTTTGACGGGTATAAAATGTATAAGTTCTATTAGTTTGTGTTTATTGGACAGGCTCCGTACGAAGTCGTCCTTAAGGTTCTCTTCAGGGTGTCAAGAGAAAAGTCAATTTTGTCCTCCTCTTGGCACGCGCTCTTCCATGCACCCCCCGGAAGAAAGGTGTCTCTCCGCTTTCTCCAGCTTTCCCCCGAATCAGGGTCTCTCTTCTATTTCTCGACCTGCAAACACATTCTGATAAGTGTACGTGTCGGGTGATAGCGGCACAAAGCATCGGCGAAAGCGAGACACGTTACAAATTGAAGGGTCCTCCAAAAAGAAGGGTGGTCCCGCACAGCTTGGCGCCGGTTTTTGCACGCTGATTGCAAGTTGTAGATAAACGTGCCCACTCTTGCAGATTAAATACAGTCTTGTATTTATTTGGAGCATAATGTCGCCACACGCGGGGCGGCGAGCAAACAGAGGCCGCTTAGAAAAGCACGGCGTGCCCGCTGAGCCTTTCAATTTTATGCATCAAAGAGCGACATATTGAGCCCTGAGGAGCGCACTCCCTCCAGGATTTTTACGGAAAACTTACCAGCGGAAGAAAATTTCAGTGAGCGGTAATTTAAGGGAACGTAAAAGTGGCATCTGAAATGTCCATCGTTCATGCAAAATTTTCGCTGAACTGGATGTCCCGAATCGTTTCAAACTTTACCAACATGGGGTCTATAAAGAAGATCCTCACACTCATGAAATTTCACTTCTTATAGAAAATGTTCAGGTAATACCTAATTTTTCAAAAGGAAATGTCTTTTTTTCATCCTTCTCCGAGATAATAGAAATTTTTCTTCAGAAAATGACATTTCACGAGCATCGCGTTCTTCCTTAGGGCCTCCATAATCTCGTGATAAAGTTTCAAATGACGGTACGCCCAGTTTGGAGAAATGTTTTATCAATATTTTGACGTTTTGGTATGTATATGTGACACTTTCATATCACCTTAAAAATACCTATCAACTAATTAAGAAAAAGAATTGAAATTTCATGGGGGTTAGGACCTTCTTTATAGTCTCTATATTCACGATACGAAATTTATAAAGATTCGGTAAACCCAGTTCAGGGAAAAGTTTCGTAAGCAAGACTTCTTCGAGGCCACTTTCGTATCACCTTAACGCGTTCCGTAATTATCGTTAATCAGGAGATAGCTATGACCAATGGCCACAACCGATGGAATTGTCCACAATAAACTACTGATCGCCTGTAACGAGCCAGTACGGTTTTACAGCTGGATGGGAATTGCGGAAAAGGTCGATCGAGGGTCGGGCAATAACGCGATTATCCCGGCAGGCCGCCATTTTGGTCACGATCATGACCTAGTTACGATTTTCACGATTTTCAGGGACACCGAGGGCCAGGACCGAGCAGAAGGCCTCCGCAAACCGAATTACCGTGACAATGGTCCCGACACCCCGTGTCCATGGTGTACCATGGACGTACCATGACCATGGCCGGCCATAGGGATCCGATCTCGCCGGTTTACGATTCAAAGGATCGCGAGACCACGAACGAGGTCGAGGACAATGCTGGCAGAAATTTCACCCAATAAATTCCGGGCATCCGCACCCCGCAAACTCGGGTTTCTCTCCCCCGAAGGAAGGGAGTCCTGACCGAGAGCCTAGACTTTCCAATTTATTGTTACGGTCATATTTCTTCGGGCCCGAGGCGAGACTGGCTCCTGGGTACTAGAAGTCGAAACACCGGGACGAGAAAATTGGAGCCTCGTCGTATCCTGCAGGATGTGCAGGATCAGGGGATTCCGGGGACGGAGATACTTTTTCCCTGAAGGGGGTTTACGTTGAAAAAGTTGGACGCGTTTTCGGAAACGGGGGAAGTTCCTTTTCGAGAAGGACTTCCTCTCCTCCTTCGACCGTCCCTGCGCTTAGCTTTTCACGTAAAAATGTCTATTACCTTGTACCGTCACTTTTCGGTCATACCTTTTTGCACGGTTTTTGCATACTTTTTGCATACTTTTTGCATAGCAAAGGCACTACCTTTCCCAGGGGTTCGTTTTGAGTTATTTTACAAACGCACGAGGGCGTAGTAAAACTATATTGCCGAGACGTGGGGATGTTTCACGGTTTTCGAAATCCGGTGGCAGTCCGGCCACCCTGCACCCCTTTTTTGCATGTCAAGTAAAGAAGCAGCGGGATTTTTGGCCTCGGGTTTTGGTTGCAAAAACGGGAAGACCTCGTCGACAACCAAAAAAATGCGGACGAAGAGCCGCGAGAAAACGCTTAAAGTCAGCTTTTTGAGTAACGGGCTTTGCTTTACGCCTTTACGACCAGGACTCGAAAATCTCCGGGTAACAGGGGTAAAGAGTTACCGCAACTTTTTTGCATAACGGCTCTCCTCCGGTTCGCTTTTCCCCGATGCCCGACTGAATAAAAAAACACGAGTTTTTCCCGCTGCTTCACTTTTTAACGGGGTTTTCGGACAACAATCCGTAACGGGCAAAAACCGTCCCACTTCTCCTAACGGAAAAACTTCGGAAAGCGGCAAGAAAAACGCCCGAAGAAAAGAATTTTACAGCCGCCAGTATTTATTCCAAGCGAGGACAAAAACAGAAAGCCGTCTCGAAAATATCTTGAAAAAGAACATACTTTTTAAACAAAAGCTCTTTTTTCTTTCTGCGCCCTCGACCGCCACGTTTCTCCATTTTCATCCTACCCCGAGAAATAAAAATTCGTCGAACCTACGAAATATTTCTTTAGATAGTACGAAAGAAACATTATTCTTAATTCGAAGTATCATTATTTGACTCCGATAAACTCAAATAAATTATCCTAATTCCGAAGACACGTTGCATCCTATTTATTCGAGCTTATCAGAATCAAATATAATTATTCTTTGTATGAAGAAAATATTTCGTCGGGTCAATAAGAATTTTTTATCAAGGTAGAACGTTCGAAATTTATCGCAGTCCAATACAACCTAGAATCGTTCGAAATAATGGTCGGAAAAAAATGATTAAGAACCTGCGGTTGCAATAAATAAAATAAAAACGTTTAACCCCCCCAGCGAAATCTGCGGAGCATAAATTATCCTAACTCCGAAGAAACGTTGCATCCAATTTATTCGAACTTATTTCGATGAAATATAATTATTTTTTAAATTAACAAAATAGACCTTCGATTCACTGAAAATTTTTTCTCAAGGTAGAATGTTCGAAATTTGTCGCGCTCCATCTTTACAATCTAGAATCGTTCTAAATAATGGTCGG